ATATAGTGCAAATCACATAAGAGTTATGGTCACAACAATTTTATTTTCTTTTTAACTAGCAAAAAGGAATTTTCAAATCTTTTTCTTGTCATTCGATGGAGTTTGCACAAATTTTTGCTTTGCAAAGATCAAAGATGTTTTACTAAAGATGACAAAATTCCAATTATTTTGTTCAAGGTTACACAAACTATGTTTGTTCGCAGTTTATAAACTGTATGATATGTTCAACCTAAGTATTGGATTTTGCTATTTCTTTGTTCATAATGTTTTTTTGCTTATTAAATTTTAGATTTAATCATCATGCAAAATAAGCTTAGTTAAGTCGAAATAACTTTGAAAAACAGCATTTAATATTCAGTTTTAATTAAAAACTTTTTCTAATTGCAAAATATTAACTATATATAATATTACATGATTATCAAACAGACTTTGCAATAAAGATAAAAAAAATGTATGCAATGTGTTACAAAATTTTGTAACGGATTGTATGCAAGATGCTTGGAATTTTTGTTTTCACTTTTAGATCATGTGTGTCCAATTTTGAAAATATCGTAGGAGGTTTAAAAATAACACATATCTAAATTACAACAACTACAAAATGTGAGGTTACAAATTTAAGGAAAATTTCCTCGAGAACTATGGACATCATGTACTGTCTTGTTTTTTAAGAGGATTATCTAGTTTGTTTGAATATTATGGGTGATATAGTACATATTTTTTATTATGTCATAAATGAAAATTGGCTCTAGTATCTAGTTCGATGTCTTTATTGTAAAGGTCGGTGGAGTCTTTCTAATGCACTTGTCTCTATTTCACTTTTGTTCAATTATGGGCTGAGATAAAGACTTTTTAAAACAGTATGTATGCAATCTATCTTTTAACAGAGAAGATTCATACCAACTTTTTCACGACAAAAAACACAGTAACAATACCCTCGTTGTCTCCTATTTGTGGACACTGCTTTAGCTCCAGCCTTATAGGATAGGTTACCATTCTTGGTAGAACATACCCTCAATGACCAATATGAAACAACCAAACACAACCACAAATATTGTAAAGATTGAAAATTGCGAACTTTATCTAGGTTTGGAGATCTTTGGCTGCAACTGCAGGTCGCACTGTTTGTGCTTGATAAAAATGGAACTGGCGAGCCGCATTTATGGTCAGATTCGGGTCAACTAGGTTCATGAACGCAGTTATCTGTTTGTGAGAAGCTCGTGACTGGCTTACAACGAGATCATCTGGTTATTTCCACATTGCTACAATCTGAGGCAGTAGTGAGACTGCAGGGTGTAGAAGATGTTCTGTATTTCGTGACTCTCTAATGCATTCTAATGCTGTGAAATTTCGGACAGATAGTGGGAAAGAGATAATGTCGTGAAGCAAGAAGCCGAAGTGCATTCTTTCGTGAATTAGATTAATGCATTCGTATCATGCTGTACGTCATCGAAATTTCTAACAACAATATCGAGAAGATTAATTTGTGGAATTGCACTTTTCATTATCCTTGTCCGTTTATGTCTGGACGTAGTGAAGCCAAGCACTTCTAAATGTGGAATTTTGGAAACCAGCACATTGACACATTCCACAATTATATAAACCTGGAGCATGCATGACTCAAAATACATTGAGGATCATCATCCTTCAGACTATCAGAGGACAAGTACTGTAGTGTGACGATAGTCCGTCCCACAGGAAGCACAGATCCGGAATCAGAGGAACTGAAAGATATGCGCAAAACTTCTTGATGACGAAGGTTGCAAACTATTGCTCTGCACATAGTCGCTGCACGGAAACTGGACTTGGGTCATCCCCATTCACATCGCATGCACTGTAAGTCACGTACTGCAAGTGTGATCAGGAAAAAAGGAGTTAAATGCATTACTGGGGATCGCGGTCTGGGATTCGGCAGATTCCCGGAGATGGAGTTGACAGGAGGTCCATGTGATCGATGTTGTGGGACCTGTGCGGTACTTGTGACACATTGAGAGTCGTGACAAATGTAATCATTGTTGTCTACGCCTGCAATCTTCCTTTCTGGAGGATTGCGTTATCAGACTATTAATGACTCAGCATAGGGATCCGACAGGAGGCGCTTGTGCGCACCCACGTCGGCGCCATGGAATCAGCCGAAATCAGATGATTGGAGGTTTTTGTTGCCCCAAGGCGATTTCGAGATTTTGTGTGTGACTTTCGCTTGTAGACATAAGATTGTGTGATAGATCTCTTCTCTAGCCAGAGTTTGGAGCTGGAAGGGTGGCTGTACTGGTTCATGATGGTTCGAGGTGGTGGGCAATGGCCGTGCTCTTTTCCTCTGGCGCCGTCACGGTCGGACTCCGAGTCCCCGTACTAGACGAGTTGTGTTCCGTGACGTAATCTTTGCTTTGGCCCAAGTTTCTGCACACGTAACGAATTTCCATTTTGAGACTGGGCCTCGAACTTCCAACTTCGCAGCTTCCGCGGAGTCAGAGCATGCTATAACTTTTGGATTTGCGACTTTATATTCCCCAGAACAAAACGAAATGAAATAATTCAGTAGGAGCATTTTATTTTCTTCGAAATTCACCAAATACAGCTGTTCATGTTATAATTCTTGTAAAATGTTTGATATGTTAATGTTGTAAATGTTCCCAACTGATAGCGACAAAAATGTCATTTTTGTCATTTTCATTTTTGTCGCTATAAAAATCAAAGCAACTGTTACAAATTATCAATCATAATGTTTGAGGTTGAATTTCATACATGCCATTTTAGGATATAAATTAGCTGAAAATTTTAACTAAGATTCAAATGTGAAAAATCAAAGGTTACATTAAACTAAATATCTTTGAATGAGGTTTAATATTTTGATAAAAATAAAAAGTATCTAGATACATAGATATAAGCTCTAATATATATAAATTGGATATGCAACCTCCATCTAATCTTGCTGAAATCATAATTCTATCTTCTGTAAAATACATTAATGAATATGTTATCATTTTATAATTGAAAACTGAGGTTTCATGAAGCGTAGAGTGTTATCAAAAGATATTTTGAGTGTTTAAGAAAATAATATAAATTATAGTTGTTTCACTTGATGACTATCGTTACACTATGAAAATTCAATAAATCATAAGCGAAAAAATTAAATCCATGTGATTGGAACTACAAAATATAATATGTGATAAACATTCCTCAAAATTAATTTTACGAATTCTCTATTATGAATTTTTTTACCAATAAACTGTAAAGCTGTTGTAAAGTGTAAAATAAAGTATCATGAGAAAAACTTTTCGTTGAATTTATTCTAGGATTTCAACTTTGTCTCCTCATTATAAGAAAATTCTTTGACCCTGAATGAACTTTGTTGTCAAAGTTGACGTTCCCCGGTATATTTCAGTTAAAATAGTCGAGTCAATGTATTCAATGTATTCAATGTTTTCACTGTTTTCGGAAACGATATCTCACATTTGGAAGACATGAGTCCAATAGCAATAAATAACCAAGCATACATCACACAGTGAAGCAACTGAGTATAGTAAATTGAAAGAAAAGATACTATTCTTAGACATCATCCATAAATGTGCAGATAAAATTGCTAAAGTTGTACTTTCTTTCAAGCAAGAAAATATTTCAAGTTAATCAGATGTCAGCACACAAATGAAATGTCACTGATTTCAAGTGAAAGGATTATTAGTAACTTACTAATCAAGACACTGTACTGAGACATCCCACCAAAGGAGATAGGATGCCAGCAGCTATGCATATTATTCGTCCTATCGAAGCTGGATCTGGATCTCTCGCTTTTTGAAAGATAAATCACAACAGCAGAATGGGCGAAATTCGAAATCTATCGAGGGCTCCACGACAGTGTAAAAGCGTTGAAAGAAGCAACCGAAGCTTCTGTTGTAGAGTATCAACACAACTGAATGAAGGATAGAGCATGCATCACTTTTGTAAATGCATGTGTCCAATATAGAGAGCGAACATGCGGACTTACACTCGTTGAGCTACAATATACAGTTTAGTTACACTATACCAATGTTCACTGAAGGACAAGGAAACGTCAAAGTCCATTCCCATCGTTTTTTTACGCATGTGGCCTTTTCCTTCGGATGCAGGTTGGAGTCAGATGTTCAGCATGGACAATTCAAAGTTTGTCACGTATCCAACTAACACATGAATCTACTGATCTTATCTTGATGACATCCTTCACTAGTCAGCGACATGCGTCATTCATAAAATTGAGTCCACTATTTGCACTTTGTACAGCAGCATTCTATTTTTGTCTTCTCATATACAGATCCTTGGATTTTTATGTCTCGAAGTTATCACTCCCGTCAAGTGACATTCCGAGTTACGTAAAAAGACATCGCTAGCGGCTAATAACACGTCTATAAATTTGTCTCACGCAATGATCAATTGCCTATCCGCATGAGGTCTTAGCAAATTTCTGGCAGGTAAAGACAATATTCATCACATCCTGATTACAAATAATATATAGTGAACTGATACTAATAAGTGATGTTTAATGATCAATGTTTCATTCTCATAGAATCGTTAGAGATCATTAGTTTATCGAAATTGACAGTGTTTTACGTTACTGTAATGAAACGTCAATATTTATCGATCCGCGAGTCGACTATCCAGGGTAGCTGTTATTGAGAAAATAATCTATCTTTCTAAATCAAATAATTTACTTCCAGCTAGAATCAAGCCCAAACCAGTTTTCTTCTTTTTCATTCGTTTGATCTTCTAACTGCGGGAATGGTTCATACGAAATTACAGACGATCAAACTGTCTCATTACATGCTTTGAAGCACACACAGAGAGGTCTTAGAGGGTCTAGTTCTAGAAAGTTTCTAATTGACGACAATTCAATTCTGACAAAGTTTCTCAATCTGAGACTAAGAGGAATTCCAGCAATGAGCGGGATTTCGTTCTGGCCAATCAGGGAGAACTTGTTCCTTCAAATGCATCCCCACACACAGGAAAGAAAAGGTGAATGTATTCATGGTGTAAACTGAGTATTTGAAATGCATCCACCCAAGCTTCCTCAGCCTCCACAGAGATGTACATCTGTGCTTCTTATTTTGTCATGTATATAGCTGCATGTCAAGAGCTATGTGGTCTAAAACTTGGCATATTAGAAGTAAATCAAATTGGTGAGCCAACATGATTTAGAAATTCTCAACAATTCAAACTTCAAGTCTTTCGAAATCACGAGTCAGAGATTCTTTATTGGCCCTCAATCAATGAGGTGCAAATGCTGGCATCAGACCATGTCTAAGAAGTAAAGGTAACCTCGCATGTGTCACCGTACACCTCGTCAAACGTTACATCATCGCCGAACTTGGAGTAATCCAGATTGCATAAAGATGTGTAGTTGACACCGGATGAAGTGTATTTTGCTTCCAGAAGCATTATTGCCAATAGTCTCTGATAAGGTTCCGTGAGGTGTGGACCGTCCCAGTAGATATGCTCCCCGACATTGTCGCAGACGCTGGATCCTGGATGTCCACACTTGATCTGGCTATTGTAGTTGTTGTCAACAGGGCCTCCGGGAGCTCCGCAGCAGACTTGAGTAGACAAATTCGGATTGAAGCCTGATCCAGATCAAGTACATCAATACAGAAAATCAGGATTAATTCTCATTTAAAGCTGGGGGAGCCTTCATAGGAACTGCCAGGAATCTGTAGTAGAAGGATAATATATGAAACATTTGAAATTGTAAGCTGTACGTCAGGTTTCAGAATGGTCAGAAGTCGAGTCAGCTGCAATGGACTACCGAATTGGACTTGGCCTGGAATTCCATGCAACCCACCATCGAAACAACATTGGAAACTTTCATGCACGACCAGTCAAGCTTGAAGGCGAGGGTTTTTCAAAAGTGTCATGGCGGTGTGTAGATTTGAATTAGAGGCCAACAACTAGCTACCGATTGAATCTTCCAAAGGAAAAATGAAAGCCAACCATTCGAAGAATGTCTTCAGATTTATTCTTGAGAGAACTGCAGAAGAGAAAAAGATTTGACAATTTACCGAATTTAGAGAGATTGGATCTTATCTCTTCGGAACCAGCAGAGACGTTGAATAAGCCTATACTTGCACCAGTCAGTTTTGCACGCATCCTTTCGACGAGCTGCACCAGAGCTCCGTTCCAACTGGCAACTGACTCTCTAGGAAAGAGAAGGCAGCCCCTATCATCGAGAGGAAAAGTGCTATATTGACTTACGAAGTTCGGAGAGCAGCCTACATTATCAAGCCCAGTGAGCAGGAACCTTCGTGCGCCGTAACGGTATAGAGTCTGAGATCGAAACAACACGTGCACTGAGAATGTGAATCACCGAGTTTTCCCGATGTCTATATCAGCACAGAACTGATCCTCATGGAAACATCTGACCATGCAATATCTGATAATTACAATGAAATATAAAACAAAAGTTTATCCGCTCTAGAAAATCAAAACATTGCCAACATATTGGAACCGTGTAGAATCGTCAATCTCTATTATTCTGATTCTTTTACTCATGGATTGAAATCATATAATGCACATGGTCGATCTGGATGCATCCGAATGAAGTGCTTACCTCCATTGCATTTTCGTGATTCGTCATGGCGTCGGGTATCACCTTGTTTATGATGACGTTCATCCCAGACGCAATGTTTGAGCCGTTGTGAAGAAATGCCAACGGGAGGTCATTCCCTCCAAACTTTATGGTGTACAGAGCGTTTTCAAACGCCTTCTTGGAGGGCAAGAATTTAGCAAGAGGCGAACATTTGCCTGCCGTTAAACATGTACATTATGAGAATCCCTTGTCCATAACAAGACATCCACGCCCAAAGAACCTGAATAGCTGCAGTGCATGACTCAAGAACTGATTCAGATATGAATGAACTCATATTTCGCAACTGCTACTCACTAGTGGGTAGTCACTTACAGTTAGTCTCAGCAAACACAATATGTAAACTAGCAATAAATCAGTTGTTAGAATTTGACCTTTTTGTCTCTTGACGCTTTCTGTTGTTTTATAGAATCTGATAAACTGATTCAGCTGGATTGGAAGGTATAAGGGGGTGACAGTGGAGTCATTGCTAGCTGTGGATCCGGATACTGCAAAGTTGACTCCATGGCGGAAATCGTATGCTCCTGCCTGGATATATGGTTGAAGAAGTGGGGTCTTGAAAGCCAATGCTGCACCAGAGCCAAAGTTTCGACACTAAATCAGCGAATCAAATTCAGATGCACTATGTATGAAGCTAATAAGAAGTCAAAGAATCATGAAAATTGAAGCGTAAGCTTTCCCGATCAAGATTGCAGTATAGAAAAAAAGTCGATGCTGTAATAATACTGCAATAATCGGCATTATCTATCGGAGCAGCAAAGCCACCGCACATCACATCACCCAAAACATGAAATACATTACAGTTGTGGCTCTAGAGCTTCAATTTCAATTTGGAGGATTTCGAACAGGGTTGTTCTTGTGTAAGTAGTAGTTCCATCAATATCATGACAAACATGAATTCTGGAGTGAACTCACCAAAGAAGTCCGGTATCACTCGTCCATGGGCGTAGCGTTTGGAAGGTTCTCCGAAGAATTGCATACCGTACGGTGGCAGACCAGGGTCTCCAGGTGCTACATTCTCTAGTGAGCCCGTATCGGTCGTTGAATCCCCAAAGTTGAAGAAGGCTGTTGGACAATCGGTTAAACCATTCGCACCGCCAATTGCAACCACTAGCAACACCAATATAGCTCTGCAGGCCATTCTGAGACGAAAACTGTCGAGAAGTCGCATCGTTTGTGGAGACATCAGAAAATGTTTTCCAGATTGACAGAGCAAAATTTGATATACAATTGTGGGCTCTCTACGAAGGATGAATAGAACTCGGTAACCATGAACGTGGAGAACATTCAGATCCAGTTGATGATGTGCAGGGAAGAAAGAATCCGCACATATATATATATATATATGTATACGGGTTCAAATAATCTGGTAATGAGTACACAATAATAAAAAATTCCAGCAGATCTTACAATATCTAGCATTAGGTAGGCTTGCATAAAGTACTGCCTGTATGTTGGAGTTTGCACCCACTTTCATCGCTGAACACATGGCCATAACGCATGAAGGACTTCTCTGCGCTTCTCAAAATTATGGAATCTCTTCGCGTTCTATCCGGCTTTACGACAGGCCGACCGTGATCCTGGCCTTCCACCTGCGCTTTAGCGTTGTACGAGTCCTTCGTCAATGGTGCCCTCTATCTTCTGTGATTCACAATCATATTTGATAAGATTTGCGACGCAACTGTTGAAATCCTGACTACAGTGGTGTTTGAGCTCAATGAATCAGGAAAGCTTCTGTCTTTCGGGACTTGAAGCATATGTTATTACGAATCTCAGGCCTTTGACAAACTGTGACGATAACGTACAGACCAAAGTCTCCATTTGTCAGACTGTGCTTTTCATCCATCAATCCTTCATGTTTGCTCTCTTAAATCCACTTCCGTCAAATTTACCTCCGAGTGTCGGACATTGGCCAGGCAACAGCCTATGTTACTTCCTGGAACTTGATGCGCAGGAGGATAGGCATCGATCTCTCTCTCTGTTCATTAGATCTGAGGTAAAGTGAAAGGAGCTTGTCAGTTGTCATCTCTCTCTTGAGACGCGGTTGTGTCCGTGTGGAGAACAGCCAGAATTACGTCGAATCTTCACTTTTCCCTCCGTGGAAACTCGTTATCATTAATAACACCTAGTTTTCTCGGACCTCTCGCCTACAACATGACGATTGGTGCTATCATTTCTGTGGCAATCTTCTTTCACAGCTTTGCATAGATTTTTGTGGACAGAATCGTCAAGCAATCTGCTTGCCTATTCGCGAATCCGTTATTTTCCAACATGAGTTCGTCATCGTCAGACACGATGAGGATTTTTCCTTCCACTCGCCTGTTGATCAAGGCTTTGTATCTAAGTGAAATCTAAGCCCTCTGATTGGATAAGCAGCCCATGGCTGATCTGTTATCGCGACAATGAAGTATGTTCAGGGATGATAATCCCTGGTTTGGAATAGAGGGCTATGAAAGTCGATGGGATATTGCAGTTGATGCTAGATTGAGTCCTAAACAAGAAGTCAAAGGATAATCTTGACAACTTCTATCAGCATGCATCTGATTGGCCTTAAACATGATCCATGAGATCCGTAGCACTGTTGCGAAGTACAGACGTGAAAATAAGCAAAAGGAAACATAATTAAATATGAATTCGTTTATGTTGACGTTCAGTTCACAACCTGTGACTACCGGTAATCTCATGTTTCCCGATTCACTGATGTAATCGACTTAAGCTCAATTTCTTCCCAACTGGCTTTCATCTGGAGAAATACAGATGAGTAACAAGCGAGATGATTCCAAGCTACTGATGTTCGCGTACAGCAGGAATCTGATGAGTGAACCTGACATGTACAGGACGAAATACAAATGAGTAACATGCAAGACGATTCCAAGCTACTGATCTTCGCGTTCAGGTGGAATCTAATGAATGAACCTGACAAAACTTCCTCAGCGGGTTTACAACAACAGAAGAATCTAGACTCTTCCCTGCACACCAATCACCATCGTCGTCAGACAAGTGGCATGTATTACTCAATACACCAAATGATATGAAAGTTTTCTTCTCCTTCAGTGGCAGTCTGAACCTATTCTAGTCCTGAGCTGAGATTGGGTCTTCTGCACGAAAGAAATCAGAAGTGCGAGAACTGTAATCTACCCTTTAGTAGGCAAAACCTGTATCTGAACCAGATTAGGAAACATTTCGACATGTTACCTGCAATCGTTGAGGAAGTGAGTTGTTAGTGAACACGTTTTTTTCGTTAAACATATGCCATTTTAAAATGAGTAAATATGATATTGAAACTAATAATCTCAATACTTTTACTGTAAAATATTACGATGTTGAGAGGATAACTATGGTCACGGTGTACACTACAGAACTGTTTACTGTACAGCTGTTGTACAATTTTCAGATACTTTCTAAAGTGGGACGGAAAGTTTGCACCGTAAACAGTACATCATTGACTCTGTGGATTGATTCTTGATGGCATCCTCTCTTCGTGTTGCGTCAGTAAACAGTTGCAAGCATTATGTACATACTCTTGAAAGCACAAGTTGCCGACTTGGGCTTTCAAGAGTTTGTGCACAATTCTACGAAATCTCATGTTACGGCCTCAATGCTTGATGATATGCTTGTCAGAAGTAAGTCCTTCTAGCAATAAATAGTTTTACCCTTTACATATGAACATAGCATAGAACAAAATAAAGCATAATGGTTTATTTTAAAAACTTGCAGTTTGACATTTGTTATGCATTTTAATGGAATATTTATGTATATAGAAAATATTTGAAACATTGTAAATTACAATTACAATCTTGCGAGTTCTAAAATTCTTTATATGACTTGATTTTGAGCAATAAAAATGAGGAATTTATTTCTGATTGAAAAGTATAAAAAATATAATATTACATGCAAATAATAACATATGAAAATATTTTTTTATTAATTTTAAATTATGAAAATATTTCATATTATTATCTATCAATTAAAATGTATTCAAATGATGAAGTAATTACATTTGATAGAATTTGACATAAAAACAATCAAAGCCGGTTAGAACTAAATAATTGTTTGAATATGGCTTTCTTGCATCATATCAATTTTATTTAATTGAATCATTTCCCTACAAAAATAAGAAATTATAAATTATCCTTGATGTTTGTCTCAAGATGCATCTTACATATTAAAAATTTACATAGAAATTTTCAATTTTTATCTCTGACTTTGTAATTTTAAATCGGAACTTTGTTAGATCAAATATGTAAGCATTGTTAATAATACTGAACGATAATATCACCCATCAATTATGTTATATATATATATATATATATATATATATATAATTTAGAATAAAAATGTCAAGTCTTACCCTAAATCTAAAACACGTAAGATCTTGCAAATTTTTCATGTCTATTGTAAGAGAAAAGCACCAAATATTTTAAATATACTTTTCAAAATCCAAATATATGTCATGAAAATATTTTTTACCATATAGAGAGAAGATTGTACAATAAAAATGTGATTATGAATGAATTTAATAACATATTGATCATATTTTTGTCAAAATCAATGCTATAGGAACAAGTGATATTAAATTCGATTCCATTAATCTGATTGTAACAAGCAAGATGCTTGTTTTGAGAGTAAACCAGTGGAAGACATTCAAACAACTATTTGAATACCATTCGAGCTCAGCTCTTAAGGATTGATATAAGAGGACAGTCATAAGAAAGATTGTAGTCATAGATTGTGAAGTTTTTGTGAGAGTAATAATTCAGCATGCCAATTGCCTTGGAGCACGTCTTGTTTTTCTGAAGTCATAGTTCTTCTGATTCCAATGTCATCCCACCTAACTAAGCAAACGTAATGGAGCTTATATTCCATATCTTTGAACTAAGTATCCTCCTGGGTTGTAACATTTTTCAGATTTCAAGGAATAAATAGATAATATTAATTCGTTCTAGCAATCCTCACACTGCAACTCTATTCCATATCTCGATTTTTAGTGTGTGAGTATTCTGCAACGTAGACAAGAAATTGCAACCTTTCAAGAAGCTAGTTACCATGCATATCATCAAAGCTTATATATCATGTTTGGCTTTTAGTATTGATATAGTTTACAAGAAGACCAAGTCTATTATATTTCCAAAATGTTTTCAAGAAATGAAACAGATTGATTTTAAAAGAGAAGGACTGTTGAGATTAATTCATGTTTTGATAAATTATTATATGTTAATCATAATTAGATAGAAACTCTTAAAAAAAAAGCTGGTAAAAGCTTTTAACTACATAAAACTAAGATTATTTTAAAGAGTGTTGTGTTCGCATGAATGAAGATATAAGTGAGATGATTCACTAACTTTAAAAATTTGATTACGTTGGATGACTATTGTATAAATAATCATTAGATTTTGTCTCCTCTAGAAAAATATTTAGAATCTTAATCTATGTGACAAATGAATTTCTGACAACAATGTTTTAGCCTGAGTCATTATAGTTAAATTAACTAGTCAAACCAAGACCAAAGTAAAATTACCGAAATTGACTGTGTTACTAATTTTTTTTAGATAACTTTCATGATTACTTGATTTTTAAAATTTTACAATTTAATATAATTTTTTTTTCACATAAAATTGAACTACATGAATTCAAATTGATATTCAAAGATATAAGTTTTGGATAAATTGAATAATATAAACATGATATATTAATGAAAATTCATGAAGAAAATATAAATATTTATACCTATTTAAATTTATAGATATCATACAAAGTCATTAGAAATCATTGTATAGTTACATTATCTAGACCTTTGGTGTTTCTGGATTTTTTTTCGTTTTCTATATGAACTAGCTCAAATAAATTTGAAATAATCATCAAACTTAACAGTTTTAGCTTATGATAGTATAATAAAATTTTTGTGAAATTGAATAAACTCAACACATAACAAATTTAACTACATGGAAACACAGTTAAGTTTTGTTATTTTTAGAAAAAATTAGAACTGTAATAAAAAATATTTTTCAATGAAAAAACAAATTAATATTTTTTATACTCTTAATTTTTTTATATTCTAATTAAAAAAATTATTCAAATATGTTAAGAAAAAGATATAATCATAATACGAAATTTAAACATCTTTCCAAAATATATAAAGCATATCTTGCAATGAACTTTTCTTTCATCGGAAAAATTCAGAAATAAAAACTATTAATTTTTTCTTTGTACATGTTTTTTAACATGAATTAAAATTGAATTATTAATTCCAAGATTTTCCATTGTAGGAAAAAAAATTCATTTATTGCAACAGATTCTCAAATCTTTAAAAAAGGGTTTTTTTTAGTGTTATGCACTCTAATTTGCTTTCTATGAATTTTTTATTTATATTTTAAATTTAGATACAAAGTATACTTTACAAAAATTTTCATATGAATAAATGAGATATGAAATTATTTACTCTTAAATAAAAAATTTCATACTACTATATTATATTTTTGCATTTTCTTTGTTGAGTAAATTTGAATTTATACCTTAATAATTTTATCAAGATATGTTATGAGCATTGATGACATTTTCCAAATAACTAGCGAAAATTTAATGTTAGTCTTTATGATTATAACATGAAAATCTCATTGTTGAAGTAACTAATAATAAAAAATAGATTATACAAATTTTGATTTGTTTTATCAACACACACAATTTTTATAGGTTCATTGGAAGCATGTACTAAACTTGTAGCTAACCCAAAGTGAAAGTTTTTTCCTTCATAACAATGCTTGAATCAGTGTACAACAACTCACCATGAGACTAGACCCAAACACCCAAATTTACAGAAATCTCATAAACATTTTGAATTGTTTTCAAAAGCAACATTTTGCGTCGTCGCGAATGAAAAGGTTCAGAGACCCTAGGGACTTTATCTGTGTGTCCCACTAATGTATTACGCGCTCGCAAGAAAATAACAGAGACTAACACAGCTTTCCCAAAATACAAAACTATTTGCGCAAAAGTCATATAGCGGTTTCTTATTAGAGTATCTATTATATTATAACTTGTACATCGGCAACAAGTTTCCGTGGTGTAGTTGGTTATCACGTCAGTCTAACACACTGAAGGTCTCCAGTTCGAACCTGGACGGAAACATTTTCGCTTCCAACTCTTGTTCTGAGTTTTGCTGCGAATGCCTACTGCAGTTTCATGCTGGAGCATCTTCTGGTATCCCGGTCGCACCTCCGGACCGGAGAAGCGTAAATTGCAAACGAAACTGCGAAATGGAAGCAAACTAGGCATCCTAACCGAGAGTGGAGCCTCTTGTTGACTGTGGTTGCGCAATACGTGGTTTGGTCAGATCACTAGTAAAATGAGGTTTCTGACATCTCAGTAGGAAGCAAGAACGAAGGTCGTTGAATAAAGGCAAGTTCAAGACCTTTAGGAGCAGATTGTGAACTACATCGAAGCCGTCATGAAGAGTTTTACATGTTTCAGAAACCAGCTCAACCACTCATGCTTGTTGATCCGTAAACATGCGCAGAATGAGGAGGAGATGGTACAAATCAGGGTCTTACCGGAGGGTTTGCAAGACAGGTTCGGAGTTGATTTTGAAATTTGGCTCACGTTTGGAGTCCTGTATTGTGATTGGTTTGCGGACAATGGAAAATCTTTAGCTAATATCTGAAGGCCTAATTCTTGACGTGAGAAGTGTAGAGTGATTGTTTGCAGGTGTCTATATCTGCCTAGACTATTGACGCCGGGCTTGAATTTGGCACTTTCAATTTGGACAGAGGAGATTCGAATTGTGAGATTTGTTATGTATCCCCACGCGCTCTGCTTTTCTAAATCGTGAACTTTACACGTCGTGCCAAAATTTTCTTCTCAACATCCTTTGTTAAAGCTAGTTGAGCAGAAATCGTAAACTCAGCGCTTTGTCAATGCCTCCAACTTCGTGCACGGATTCGAGGACTTCTAACGTGATGATCGTTTGATAAGACTTACTGATCGTACACCATCTTTACGGACAAACATACTCAATGCAAGGGACCGAACACGCATTTTAGAATCCATTCAGCAGACACAGAGCTTTACATCGTTGTAAGGATAACTTCTTTCATTGTATTCTCTTGCGAGCACATGCGCCGAAACAATCTCTGCGCCACAAAACTTGCAGAAATTGTGCGAGTACCGTGAGGCCTAGAGAACAATCTCATCGATAGTGAGGTTATACAGATTCTCTCCCGAAAGCATGAACCTGAAGACTGCTGCATACACTTCGATCAAATCCACCATGCCACTTCCTTGGAGCTGGAGCGGGGCTCAAGAAACATTACACGGATGGGGCAGATCGAGTCAACTCTACGCTTTCGAAAGAGGATCATCTCTCAGTCTAATCTCTCTACAAGCAGCCTCTCGGGGATTGGGCTGAAAAAATGGGTCAACATATTCGTGGAAGCTCCGGTCGATCCGGCCAGATCCAGGGGCAATGTTCCCAGTCCAGAATCGACGGATGCACGTCGGATTTCGTCTCGTGTGCTGTGATTTGTGTGGGCGAAGCTCGCCACTGCGTGGATCGCGGCGGATCCAGCTGCAGGGGAGGAGTGGAGCACGACAGAGGCCGCGAATCGACGGGAAGGATGTTGCGCAAGGGATGGGAGAGTCCTCGCTATCTGGGCTGGTGATGTTGCGCCATGTCGGCGTCCCAGGTGGAGATGGAAGAGTAGCTGGGTTGCGATTTGAGGGGAGCAGAGGAAGAATAGGAAGCTCGCGACGACGAGTAGCTCAGATCGTGCTGGCCCGGGACTTTGGAGCTGATGTCGGAGTTCTCGAGCGCTATGGCCTCCTTCAAGCCTCGCACGATCTCCCCCATGTCAGGCCTGCTAGTGCCCTGCGCCTCCACACTGGCCCACGCCATCTCCGCCACCTTCCACATCGCTTCCGTGTTGAACTTGCCTTCCAGGTCCGGGTCCACGATGGAGTGGATGTCGCCGCTCCTCTGAGCGCTCTTTGCCTGCACAAATCAGATTCAGGGCATGTTCAGATTGAAAATTGGTGTGCGGAGGTTGAAACATGCGATGGATAATGCGACTGCGGATTCCGCTTACCCAGCCCATGAAGTTTCCTTGTGTCCCATCTGCGAAATGGATCACTGATGTGGGCTTGCGGCCCGTGATGAGCTCCAGGAGGATGATACCGAAGCTGTACACATCGCTCTTGGTCGTCAGCCTCCAGCCTGAGAGATACCTGCACGTGCATCAACAAGCAAGCGTCCTCTTCCCGTGAGTGGGCCATTGTCTCTCGACTCTCAGCGATATCGGCAAGAGTTTGGGTTCCAATTCGAAGAGCGAGCTGTGAAATTGTGTGGTGTGCACTTACTCTGGATCGAGGTAACCCAAGGTACCCTTGACTGCTGTCGAGAATCCCGTTCTGGAGTCCTCGGGTGCCGACTTGGACATTCCGAAATCAGCAACCTTTGCCATGAGGTTGTTGTCGAGCAAGATGTTGCTGGGCTTGATGTCTCGATGAATGATGGGAGGGTTGCAGAAGGCGTGAAGATACTCCAGGCCTGCACAGAGTTCCAAGTGGCTTGTAATTAGTAGTTGCTGTATGTGGTGATGGCTTTATTCGGTATCGTATTATGGCGTGAAGACATTGAACAACATTGTTGGACGGCTGCGTAATAATCACCTTGAGCTGAATTGAGAGCAATCTCCAGTCTTTCCATCCACGTTAAAGGCTCTGTTTTGGCCTTGTCACCTGCCAAAGGTTCACAGAATCAGAATTCACCGATTGAAAAATACATGACCAACCAGATCATGATACCTTATTATCCGATAGGAACCTTCATCAAACAAGCCCCTGCCAACTGATTTATGCCGTCATGACATCAGGCATCCTTTCACACAACTCAGTGTCTTTTCTTTCGAAAGAGTCTGCAATTATGAGTTATCGGTGACAAGTGATACTAAGTGGCATTATAATTCCAATTGTCATTTGATAATGGGACCGTGCAAAGTATGAAGTAGCTAGATACTTCCTCGTCCATTGTTTCCTGCACTGGTAGATAGCGATGACTCATATCCCATTGCAAGCACGAGGAATCGAGTTCACACGGTCGCTTACCATGAAGGTGTTCCGTCAGAGTTCCGTTGGGCATGAAAGCATAGACCAGAATATGCTGTTGAGGAGCTTCACAGTACCCGACCAGAGACACCAGATACTTGTGATGCACTCTCGAGAGGAGAACAACCTGTTCAAATTATATACCGCAAAACAAGAGTAATAATGAGAAAACTTCAAGCCACAAGTCTCAAGAAAAAATAGTCAGGAAAATCAGATCAACGGCCCCAGGAATGAAAGTGGTTTTCTCCAGCAACAATTCGGCAGTGAAAGGCATAATACTCTAAATCGATCCAATCTGTAGAGCATGCGGCCGACGAAACCCATCGAGTGGGGATGCACAATATTGTGACTGACCTCGTTGACAAATTCCTCCGTTCCTTGGCTGGAATCTGCTGCGTTCACTTTAACAGCTACTTCTGTTCCGTCGGGGAGCTTGCCGTAAAAGACAGGCCCAAAGGATCCTTGGCCAAGTTTCCTTACAAAGTTGTGAGTGATGGTAGTGATCTCCGCGAGGTTGAAAGCTCGGGCTTGTAGCTGCTGTGATCCGTCTTTATCTGCCTTCAGCATCCCAACTGCACCTAGTCCTGACATGGTAAACAGATGGATAGATTGATCTACCGTCTCTGTACTTTAGCAATGGTGCTGTCCTTATGAAAAGGAAAATCATCATCATAACTCGAAGTCGAGTTGTTAATCTGATACATTGATCAAACTCAAAAAGGCCGCCATACGCAACTGATTGGACCAGGTGTCCTCATCAACACAACCGACTGGATTTATTCAAATCAACTGCTTTGATATGAAATGAAGAGGTGCTCAGTTTCCTCGATCCTGGAAATAGATCTGATTTTGAGTTTCACACTTCTTGCACTGGAATTGATGATCAGAGGATCTGTCATCACTTTCTTTAGGAGAGGCATGCATCGGAGGCAATTCTTACCTTTATCGAGGTCAGCATGTGGAGTCTTTTTGAGGCAGCAGCAGTAGAAGAAGAAGAGGGCCAACACAACACCAACTCCACCAGCCACAGCACCGACTATCAAAGCCGCGCTCATACCAGCCTTTTTCCGATCGGAGTCAGCTCCCGGAGGTCCAATGCCCGACGGACTGGAATTAGGCAAGCAGGGGCCATTTTCTGGAAGGCACTTACTGAGGAATTCATTCCCGTCATACCTGCAAACCGAAAGCTACAATTAAATTCTGTCACAGTTGACGTCTGATTGTCATCTCTGATCTACCAATTCGTATGATCCGAAATGGTACCTTGGAAATGCTCCACATGGAGTCTTTTCACTGAAATTTTGATTAAGTGGTGTTGGAGAGGAGCTCGAGCAGACATATTACAGATGCATTATTTTTCCGGCTCAGACTAATGTCTATGAAAGTGAAAGCCGATTCTTCTATCACAGGAAGTGCGTCATGTACTCACACGAACGAGAAATTAACGCCATTTCGAGGAGCCAGAAGCCCTGGTGGAATTGGTCCTGACAGGTTGTTGTTCTGAACAAGTAATTCTTGAAGCTCCGGTAGTATAGAGAAACCGAAGGGAATGGACCCAATCAAGCTGTTGTTCTGCACATGACTGCCCACGTCAAGGCCTCAGAACGCCATGCACTACCTCCAGCTTGAGATGTCAAATCGAGCACGCTAGGATTACATTATAATTACGAGATTCTACGAGATTAAAAAAAATAAATTAGAGTCACACAGCGTACATGGTTCTCAAACTCAGCATTCCCACGGGGTCCGGAAGGTATCCACCGATAAAATTCCTATCGAGCCACCTGCACGAAGGGCGAAGCAAATATACGCTAGAATCAAAAGAACTGTCATCCTCAAAGTCCCAAACAGGAGATTCCGAGAGTGCTAGAGGCTGCACAGTAGTGACATAAGTTTCAACGGTATCTTTAATTATAGAGAAGTTTTTTCATCCAGTGGAAATTTCAACCTTCGGCAAGCTAGAAACATCTGGAAGTGCGTATGGAGATTGGGCTGAATACTCACAAATCGGTCAACGCCGTCAAACCGGTAATATTCGGAGTGATTGTACCCTTCAACCACATGTTTGATAGCCTCCTGCAAAGAGATAATCCAGGAATTTGACGAGGAACTTAGTCCAATGCTTGATGTCCCTTTCCCGAATTTAGTACCTCCTTTCAGAGGTTTGTGTGCAAGCGGCGAGTGCAGAGGAATATGTGTGCTCATTAGTAGCCGACATGAATAAGAAGCTTCATTCTATTTTTGTGCAGGAATGCTTTTCGGTCTCCTGATTGGGAGCAAGTCAGTCTCCTTACACTTTGACGACTCTTGCGGGTCGGCCGCTGTTACAAGTCAACCAGTCCCAGGGCTGAGGAAAGCATGGATCTCCATTCCAGTTACCGATCCCCGACAAGCTTTGTTGCAGGTAACGGAGTGCCACCACTGAGCATAACAGAATCAATCATTCGGCATTTCAGAAAAGCGCCTCATTCCATCCCAAAGCAAAGATAAACTGTCAGCAGATCGGGTTTCTAGAAGTCTGATAACGAGCTAATTGAAGTCAGATCGCTCGATGTGTCTGTGGAGCTGGAACTTACCATCTTCGGGTGCAGTAAAAGCCAATGGGTCGACGGCATACACGCTGTACAGCTCCAAAGCATTCACCATAGGAGGTAGATTCGAGTCGGCATCTTTGGTGAATGTGAAATTGAAAGAGGTGTCCGTGGTCTCAAAGACAGCAGTGAGCATCGAAACCTCGGAAGTGACAGTGATGTCCTTAGCCACAGAATCGACTCCATCCAAGCTCACAGAAATCGTCCTGCTGCCACTTGTGGAAGTGGCGTTTGCCAACTCATCGATCTCTTGGAAGTAGAGTGCTGTGTAGTACTGACCACTCAGATCGCTCAGGTTCGTGAGGTAGAACCAGGCGAAGTCAGTCGTCTCGTTCCACATGTAGGCATTCTGCATTACTTTTGACGGTGGCCGATTGATGCCAGACGAGGTGGGTATTTCCGTGGTGTTCTCGATCTTCAGGTTCTGGTCATGTCTCCCGTAGACATCCACCGGCTGATCGCTGCTAACTCCAGTATTGGTGTCGACTGCTTGCCAGATTCGGTCGTATGGGTCGTCGGGAAATCTGACATATTCAATCAGATCGTACACGCTTAGACCCACCATATACAACGCAGTCGCTCCTGTTAGAACAACCGAAACCTGCAGGAACTATGGTCTTCTTCTGATCTCTTCCTTCTAGATCCGAGCTGCATATGCTGAGCCCATGACGGCTGATCGTATACATGTTAACTGGCGATTGGCACAATACCATCACATTCTCATGGTTGCATTAGACGTTCAAGAAACTCAGAGCAAATTCAGGCTCAGAAGCTTTCAGGCCTTCAAAAGGATGAGGAATCCACCTCTTCAGTCCACCGCTTCCTACAGAGTAACTAGTAGGCTCTGCATACATGGCGTCTGGACAGGCAAATCGCAAACTCTCTGACTCATTGTATATCCTAACCTTAATCACTCAAATGCGTCTGTATCCTCAAGCTCAGGCTCAATCGGTGAAGCTCGATATGGACTGCCTAAAGGCAACGTGAGCAACTTCTGTCAGAGGTTGACTTCGTGTTCCTGTGTGAAGAATCCATCCTACTGCTGAGTGCTTTGAAGCATGCCAGGGTACGGATCGGGAGATAGTTCTTACCTGACCTCGTCATATGAGCTAGCCGCCCACCTGGCCTCCACGGCGAGAATCTGATCCTGTTTCGTTTCCTCGTACATATTATCCGCGAGTTTACGCAGTTGTATACTCGTAATGAATGGCAGGCCCATTTTTCTGACCAGGCACAGGAACAGACTAGTTCCACTGGATCTTACGATGACGTCCCTTCTCAGGATGACCTCTACCCCGAGATTTTCAGCGTACCAGTCGACCACCGGAGCGATGTTGATCGTGGTCCAGTACGTGGAGTTGATCGTCAGGTCGAACGAGACATTGCCGTAGAGCTCGCTGAAGTTCCCATACAAGAACGAGGCACGGACGAGATACGTTGTGTCCGGAAGGGTGGGCAGTGTGTAGCAGTGTTTCTTTCTGGTGTCGTTGAAGAACCTGAAATCCGTCCATTGTCCGCTTGCCCAGACTTGACCTGAAGTGTAGCCTGTCGAAATGTAACCAGTGTCCGTCACCCAGTTGAAGTAATAGTCCGAGTAATTCTTGAGGTGTCCGCAATCGATGTTCAGCTGCCCTGCATTCATTAAACCGTTTCCGACCGACCTTCTGTTACCATCGATCTTCCGATCATGACCGAAGACATCGAAATTACAAAGATTGCAAGTCTCATTCCTCAATCTTCAGGCTACCCCCAACGATGCAATCGTAATATTGTCCAGGAACAGTACCCAGAGTTTGTTACAGCAAGTTTGGTTCTTCATTCTTGTTACTCGACTGTTTATATGCAATTCCTACAAGGTCTCCAGGTGAAGAAAATAGTAATGCGTGGAAAAAAAACATCAGTGTATGGAGTACATTATGTGGGGAGATTTGTGCTGTAAAATTGCCCACAACTGTTGTTATTCCTTGCAGTAGCTTTACTCCACTGAGCAACACCATCTTGACTTATTTATCGACCTGAAGCTACGACATTGTATTGCTAGTTCTTCAGATAGCCATGAAGGAGGCGTTTACCTGGTTGAGCAGTTGTGGGAACCGCACATATCAAGCAGAGTAAGGCCAGTGTTAGGCCAATGCTGTACGACGCACTTCCTCTGAGCTCCATTGTCTAGCGAGACTCGTTGTCAAAAACACAACTTGAGCTTGCACTGCTCTGTTACATGAGCAGATGTAGCCTCCCTCAACGTCATTGACCTCTTACTTACTCAGGGAGGTCATAATAAGCACTGAATTGAACTACTCTAACTAATGTTGGTGCAGGCCATCAGACATCCATATTTCATTGAATTCGTCCAGGACATGCATCGTACGACGGTCAAAGATGAGGAAATCCAGGAGTCAGAAGATGCTCATAGTCCGCAAACCAGGCCATCCGAGCTTCAAGATTCATGGCCTCGATGATCATGGAATTGGCCCAGATATGAGCAACAATCCAACCTGAGAGGAACGCAGAGAAGGAGCTGAGAAGCAACTTGCAGCTTGGGAGGTCAAAACATCGAGGATCCGCAGAAGAATGCCTGCGGTCACGGCCTCTTGCCCTTTAACACCCGCTTCATCGTCGCATATGGAGAGTTGACTTCGAGATAAAAGTCTTAAAGTAATCATCATCCGGCGACTGTTCGTCATGAAATCCTTTCTAGCATCTGGGCGGTTCATCACCTACGTTCTGATTGATTGATAACTGCTCGATATACATCTCCAACTGTACAGCCGAGACTCTCGTCTCTTCACGACGACATTCGGTCAGCCCATTATGGGGACAGTCTAAACTGGCATGTCACGAGTATCTAGAATGTAAGTCCAGTGAAAAATAAGAGCATCGCCCAAAAATTTCATGCAAGCAGCGAGCGAGCAGGGACCTTTTGATACCTCCCCACAGACAAGACTGTACCGAAAATAAGTGACTCGCCAGTGACGTGACCCTCGGCCTGCAGACAGGGGAGGACTGAACCGACATCAACAGGTGGAGGGCCTTCAGATCAAGTAAAACCTTCTGCTTCATCCACAGGGGACAGCTTTGGGGAAGAAACCGAAGCTTCTGAATGAAGATGCGTAGAAGCAGTAAGACCGAATTTGCAACAATAAATCTCCGCAGATCTATCCGGACTCAGATTATTCTACTGTGCTCCTAACCAATCCCCGGTGACAGTTTTACTACAATCGCTTGGAAATTCAGTGCAGAAAGGACGAGGCATTTCTGAGTCACTTTAGATTGAAGGGTAAAATCGCCTTGTCGTGCTTTCGTGGTCCACCACTGGGATCAACAGTCAGGGTCCTGATCGCAGCCGTAGTCAGTTCTTCCGATCCGTGCAGGCAACAAACAAATGGAACGTCAAACTGGCTTAATAAATATGCCTTTCATGCCTGAGAATCAGGAAACCGGTTTTACCGGTGTATGAGGAGTCTATGCCCCGAAATATTCGACATGGTAACCGGGAATTCAAGGAATCCACCGGCAGATGTCACGTCATTTGGATGGCCAACATGGTAGAAAGTGAATTAGTAAAAGAGCTCAAGAAATCTCAACTGATGGTCCAATTTTAGTGGAGCACGCTCCTTAAGTGTAGTTCATAATCAAGGCTGAAATCTGTCATTCGTCGAGCTTGGTGTTCTAAAATTTATTTACTATCATAACAATAATTTCTTCATTTGAAAACCTACAAAATTTCGTTGACTTAGTTCAGACCTCTAGATTGTTTTGACTTGTAACAATCGGTGCTAACCAGTTTAATGTTAACTACTTCGAAGTTGATAACAGCTGCATAACATGCTGACCCCAGACTTTGGATGAATCCCAGGCTTAGTATGACAAACGATGACTGAACGCAGTCAACATTCTTCAAACTCGCAGTTACAAGGGTTCGATGTCCTCAGAGATTCAGATTACTGAGGCGTAGATCCGCAAAGGATTGGACTGTCGAGCAGCTTTTCGTCGAGACGTAGGTGATGGGGGATAGACACATTGAGATCGCAGAGATGTACAGGCTGTCCGTCGCAGCCAAAGCTGCACTGAAAGTGGGCCGGCTGAGGAGTCAGTCTCACCTTGTAACTGGTGCCGATAATAGCCACGATTCCACGAGTTCTTCCAATCCAGGGAGCAGTGGAGGGAGGATCATGCAGCAATCACCCATCGTGGGCTCACTTAACGAGCTAAAATAAACGGCTGCACTGTTTCTGCGCTTCATGTCCTGCACACGTACGCAGCAAGTTATGCCAAAATGGAACATATGTTTTGTTCAGACAAACATGAACAGGAACATTATCAAGTGGCTAATACCCGAAGACTCCCACAAACCGTACTGCTGCAATCAACGTGGTCCCTTGTTTGACATGCAGCTCCGCATTATCACACCATTCTCGAGCGCCCATAGTTGAGCTGATAGGACTGATACTCGATGTCAAAACAGTACAATACACATCGCAGCTCAGTAAATCACACCATCCTAAAATATTCTCATACATCAGAGGTTTAATTGTTTTTAGTCTAACTTGAGGCTACTCGTTTCTATCAGCTTCTAAACGGCGGAGTTAAGATAGAGTCATGAAAAACGCGCGCCTGAACAGTCAGAAAATTAGAATAGATTCCTTCAGCGAAGCCATATCCGTCAAGTTTAGATGCTCTGAAGCCTTGAGTATTTATCATTATAGATTCATATTTTTATGCGGACAGGGTGGTTATATGCACAAGATCCTTTCGCGAGTCCGGTGTCTCATTGTCGATTAGCAAATTGGTATCGTTGCGAGCACATTCGCCTACTGTCCCGGAAAGATCACGAGATATCTACTTGTTGTGATGCTACCCCAATGATCCTTGAGGTGCTCATGCTGCGCATGGTCGAATCAGGGGCGAGTTTTCCGTGACTGCTCTGGAATCTTCTCGACCCTTCCAAATGGTTCATGTATTGTCTCGTCTGCGTCTCCTTTTGATTTTCGATTATTCTCCATATTCATAAGACTATGGTCTTCCAGTGGGTTTGGTGAGGGGTTTTCTGAGCCTTAAATACAGTCCTGGAAGTAACGTCTATGATTGAAGAATATGCACATAATTGAAGTATGAAAATCTGCAATAATAAATATGCGCATGCTCTCCATTTATCCTGAAAAAAGGATTTATCGTTACTTCTGGTAGATATTTGTCCAATGAGCCATGGAGGTCGCATCGGATTAGATGGTAATCCACATAAATGTTGTTCAATGAAGGAACTGAAGGTTCTAAAGTGTTCTAATTCTTGGCGAGTCTGGTGGGCCCAAGTCCACAACAGCAGTATCGCAGCAGTAATACACTCAACTCATCAAAGTATATGTAAGATAAGTGTGGAATCAAGAGAATACTTTGAATTCGAGACTTTGCACCTGGAGCTACATTCATTATAGTGTCAACAATCGGTTTAGAAATCTGTCTACAGTCTTCATGTTTTGCTCCAGCTACGCAATGCCTCTAATACAAAAATCAGCCCTGTCTTGCAGGTATTGCCTGTATTGGCCGCTTGGCTTCCAACATCTATTTAGACGGCAACTTGAGTATCCACAAGGTTAGAAAGGGTATTGTAGCCATGGATCAAACCCTGGGCCGAGGCAGTTGAGTGGAAGAGGGATGTGACCGAAGGGTTTGGCACGCATCTGCGTGGGGATTGAGGAGGTAATGGGGCTTGAATTGCATATTAGCTCCAGGTCACATACCATAACAACCAACATAAACAAATACAAAAAGCGCTATCGGTTTATTAGGACTGAGGAACCACAACAAACATGACCCCAGAACCAGATACGGTGTTTGTGGCATTAACCTTCATATAGAGTGACACGCTGAAAATGACATCATCATTGGTGTCATTCCATCGGAGCTGTAAAATTTAACATTATTCAGAAAAGTTTTTATCAATAAAATAGAATAGAATGGAGTGGAATGTGACACTTGCAGCTGCAGAATGTCTTGGTGTTCAAGTGCCGTACTCCCCTTGCATTCCTTTGGAATCTCTGTCGATATCTAGAAGTCGGATCGTATGTATCTAAATTTGCAGCTCGAAACCGTCACTGAAGACAGAATTCCAGCTCCAAAGTGTGATCGCATCCCATGATCGGCCTCACCGTCTGTGTCATATGAGAGACGAAGGAAAGTATCTATGAACAGGACACTCCCGTCGTCATAGCAAACGGATAAAGTGAAACCAAGAGACTGGCATTGGAGTAAAAAGCTATGTCTTATAGAGATGAGTCCGCACTCTCACAGGTGTCATAGGCTCCAAATCAAGTCTGAGATTTTGAGGGATGGAAGCCAGTGCATTCGAATGCCCGGGCGTAGACAGACATGCTACGATCGGAAGAATCCAAAATCCGAAGGAATTGCAAATGTATCGAATTCAACCGCGTCTCTCGGTCATGATGTGGCCAATCTGCGTCTCTTTACTTGAGTCTATGCTCCCATCACGACCAGTAGAATCGTAGCAGGCAGTGGGTCCATAGAACAGAGTGTGGCAGGGTATATGTCCAAATTCGTTCTTCGGAGCAGTGGGATGCGATTATTGTAAAATTTCAAATGCCCGAGTGACAATTACAGACGTCTGTTACCAAAGCTTTCACCCTTTGTAAAGTCGCAAACCGTGGATCAGGTGGGTGCAAGGTGAAGAATAAAGATTGGCATACCAATTTAAGTTTAATGGATGGTGAAGAATAAATTATTTATTTAATATATATTTTTATATAATAAATTTGTAACACTTGAAGATTTATTCCATGCAATCGATATCTGGGGATCTAGCTCAGATGGTAGAGCGCTCGCTTAGCATGCGAGAGGCACGGGGATCGATACCCCGCATCTCCATCCAATCGCAAAGCTGTCCAAGTTGAAATGCTTGCAAGTGTTCATACCTTATTGGATTCCGTCATGCCAATTCTCCAGATGGAGCTCATCGGAATATGCCCAACCCTTCAGAAAAGTGTGTGCAGTTTTTTCCATTAATGCAACATGAAAAGAGTGCGATATGAGGAGTGTTCACAAACGCATATTGTTGAGCTGCAGGGAAATGGCATGAAGATAGAGGTCGGAGCCGAATTTATGAGCTTACGGTGAAATAGGGAATGTGTTTTCATGTTTGAAGAATTATTACAATTGGAGTTAGAAAAGTACATGTCTAGGTGAAATGTGAAATTATTTAGCTGTCTTGAAGCTGCATTAAAACTCCATTATCAAAGGATGAATTTGCCCAAGGTATCATAGAGTTTTAAAATAAATGTCACCAATATGTTTATCTCCCTTTTGCATTCAACATCAAAGTTCATTTCACCCATAATTGCTTCTCGTTGTGGGGAATAAGGGTATGTTAAACGTGTCCACCTTTTTATAATCAACATCACACTTGAGTTCACTCATAGTGACTTCTCGTCGAGCGAAATAAAGGTACGATTATCAATATCAAACTTGATTCTCGTTGTATGGAATGAGGATATGTAAGAAGCTTTGTTTGTCTTTTAGGTAACACATATTTTTATGCACCATTTTGAACACTTTGGAGGTTGGGAAATAGTACTTCCTAACCGTGATTTGACGTGATTGAGAAAGAATTCGAGATTTGAACTGAGAAGAGTAGATTTTTCCGTTAAATAAATCTATATTTTAAAAATAAAATTAAAATTTGACGTTACAATTTTCTATCATTTATTGTCATTTCATGTGTGTAATATTACTACTTGAATCAAGGATGTTTATGAATGAGAATGTTTATTTTGTTTTAAGAAAAATCACATAAACATATGAATGAAAGTCAGAAATTTGAAGATTTCTTAAAAAGAAACCAATAGTATCATATTTTGAATTTA